AATGAAATAAATACATAAAAAATTGAATATAAAAACTTCATATAAATATCATTTTTAACTGAAAAAAAATATATATACAAAACACAAGATGCAAACATGTTTTTATTTGCCAAAAATTAATAATAAAAAATAAAAAAAAAGGCCATGACAACTTTACTGATATTCTTGGTCGGAGTTTCAAATACGGAACTCTTCTACAAATTCACCCGTATAACTTCTAATCTCGATGTGCTTCATTTGACTGGAGACAAATGCTATGGGTGACGTCACACGCCCTTAATCCACTTCTTTATACAGTCTATGGGCTTTATGATTAAACGAAAACAAAATGTTATAACCCATTACTTTATATCCCACATAATTTGATAACTTAACATCGATTTGTAGACCTTGCTATTAAATCTATTGGAAAATATCTGTCATAGCAGCAAGACAAATATCAAAATTGGAACTGACTGAAAAAAATCCATCCAAATGAGTTTATGTTTAAATTGACTTTTAAAAATATGGTTTAAGATGTTTCTCATATAAAAACAATTGAGAAACTTTTATCACTCACACTGCTGATTATGCTGAGTGTCTGTGTTCTTTCAGTGTGAAGTGAATATTTATAATTTAATTAAATGAAAGTGCAATTGCAAAAACAAATGCATCAGGTTTCAACAGCCAATGGTCCAAATTTGCAACTATCACACTGGCATCTAAATGTATGTTTTATTTACAAATACATATGTACAAATCTAAAAGTGTGCTAATAAGTACAAAAGATTTGAAACGATGATGCGAAAATTACAAATAACGATTTCCTCTCTCCAAAAGAAAAACAAAAACAAACAATGTCTTCTTTTCGCAAAGTCAGAAATGCCAGAAGCAAATGGACTAGGTGTAATGAGCCTCGAAATCAAAATATATCACATTCTCAAAATCTTCTACCCAAGCACCCCCTCAGAAAATATTTCGCTCTTAAACTACCACCTCCAAAAAACTGAAAAAAAGGTTCAGCCAGGACTAGTTCAAAACAGACAAACCCAGAACTAAGCAATGGAGAGCTGTGTAGTTAATCAACTTTTAATAAGGTTAGAACTTCAGTCAGGCCTATAAATAATCAATAATCAGGTTTGGGTTTAATCAAGAGGTCCACAGCCAATCATCTCTCAGGAAACGCCTCCGGTTTGGAGCAGAGTGAAACTTGGAAAACTTGAAATTACCATACTAGGGACACACTGATCTGATACTGAAAAATTTGCTGGGTCAGATATCGGCTTCCAAATATGAGTTCAGTCGATATCCTGATTAAACAAAAACTGATCCGTGACTCTTTACTGATATTAGTCGGCCCAGAAAGTCTCAAAATGTGTTAATTTTTATTCATGCAAAGGTGTTCAGATACTTACTTGACAGATAAATAACACCTACATAACACCTTTTCAACTTTGTCTTATGTTATTTTTGTTTAAAGGAAATATATGCTGCTTTAGGTCTCTGCACTGAAATCGGCTGATGTCAGGTATCGCCAAATACTGGATCGGTGCGGCCTGATTACCAAGATTTTGCAATTTTAAGTATCATAATTTCCTCCACAAACAAAATATCCTGTCTTATTCTGCAAAAAAGCTGCTAACCCTGTACTTGAGATCTGTACATACAAATATGAACTGACAAACACTGCATACGTTTGTCAGTTCATATTTCAGTCTTTTCGTTAACAAGTTTAAAAAAATAAAATCACAGATCTGATCGCAATGCTTGTCAGAAAAATTACAACTGTATATTTTTCCCAGATCACGCAGCCCTAGTTAAAGTTGCACTATGTAACTTTTTGGTTCGGTTTCTGTCACCTGCTCGTTTCTATGAATATGTCATTGCTCTGCCTGGAATGTTCCACAGTGTGACATTAAACAGCTCTACCTTACATTTATTAAATTACAGGTGGTTTTATAGCTCAAAAATACCTAGAAAAACAGGCATTCTGACAGTGAGTGTATCGCCTCTCCACAGATTTGACTAGTAACTTGGTCTGGTACGGTCTCCATGAAGATAAAAAATTGTAATGCCATACTGTGAAATTCCAGACGAAGCAATAACATAAAAGGGCAATTATTAAAGTAACTTTATTGGTTTATGTTCAAGACAATTACACTAAAATTAAGACTTTTTCCCATTTAGTTTAAATGCTAAAATAGACAAAATGTTTTGTTCTTTTCATTTTTGTGCATGCATTTAGTTACTTTCAGAATAGAAATAGAATAGAAAGCCTTTATTGTCATTATACAGCTGCTCCATCAAAGTGCAAGAATTAAACAAAATAAATAAAACAAATTAACAGTTTTCATTCAGTATGGTGACAGCTTTGGGGAAGAAGCTGTCCCTGAGTCTATTGGTCCTAGCTGGAATAGACCTGAAGCGCCTGCAAGAAGATAACAGGTTGAACAGGTGGAATCCAGGGTGTATATTGTCTTTCACACTGGTAATGCAAAAAAAATACTGAATTAATGTTGAAAATAACATTCTTCTGCATAAATAGAGAGTGTTTCTATTAGGTTGCTCATAAGCACAACATGACTAAGGCACCAAACCAGCAATAAAACAGCGTCTAAATAAATCTAACTCCACCTGCCAAACAAAAGATATACAACACGCCACGAGAAATCTCTATACTGCAGTTCTAACCACTACTCCAGTCTCAACTAAAGCGCCACATTTACTCAGTAACATTAAAGTATTCAAGAATAACATTAGTAGATTTCTTGCGCTTCTTTTCAAGGTGAATTCTGTGCACTGCGTGGGCTCTATACAACTGACAATCCCCAAGACATCCTTTAGGAAAACTCGCTCGCTTCGACACAAAAACTACACTATATACTCAAACTTGTGAAGGCAGAACATACGGCTAAATTTAACAATGTGGCTGCTAGTGTTTGCCCGATTTATCTGTACAGCGAGCCAGAGGTGCACATTAGGAAAAGATACAGAGAAAACACGTTCCTACCACAACATATTAATTACTACTCACAGATACACACACACATTTTTAGATTGGCAAACCGTCTGCGCGAATGGAAATGTAATCAAAGTTAGACTAATTGCGGAGTTCAAAGCGTGTAGATATGGGAAATTAAAATGCACTGCGAAGTATGTAAATAAGTGGATGGCTTTTTCTGATAGAGGCGAGGAACATTACCGAAAATGTGGCGGGGTTGACACGAATGTAGGTCACAGAGGGTTTTAGAGATCAAATATAAGGACATTAAATCAGTGTGGTACAGTTAGAAAGAAATATTTATTGTTAAGTCTAAATTAGGGGCTGTTGATTTTTTTGGGATTGCAATAATACAGAAAACAAAAAGTAAGTGTGTCAAGATATTGGGTTAATTTTCCTGTGAATGTTGTTCAGATTATCATGGCACACATTATTTTTCTTTCATATATTTCATCTCTTTATGGAGTATAAATGTCACTTATTATCATTTTATTTTATTTATTTGTTTGAGCAAGGTAAATCAAAATCAACAACACTAAACAAAACAAGGATATGTACAAGTACCGTATTTTTCGGACTATAAGTCGCACTTTTTTTCATGGTTTGGGTGGTCCTGTGACTTATACTCCGGTACGACTTATATGTTAAAATTTTCACACATTGACAGCCGCAAGAGGCTCTAGGCTTGTGTGTCAGTTTTCTGCACATGTCTCCTGCAGAAAAAGCCGCCGTCCTGCTGCAAGTAGTGAAAATGGTAATCGAGCAGCAGAAATAAAGTTTGGAGTGAGTGAGAAACTGGCAGAAAGCAGGAATGGAGAACACAGCTTAACGGCAACTGGGAGGGTGCAACATGCAACTTTCCTAGAAGTCATTGGATAACAAAGCCTGGACTTCAGTGACAACCAAAGTTGTGCGGAGTTGCTCAGAAGTGACATCGAGGACGAAGAATTCAGTGGATTTAGTGATTTGGAGTGAGATCGAGAGTTTGGTAAACTTATGTTCTGTTGTTTATGCTCTGTTTATCTGAATAATTGTTAATATGTTACGTTAACATATTAACAAATATTCAGCCTCTTGTTCTCCGTTTTGTTATTACTATAACTTGCCTTTCTAGAAAAAAATGACAGTTCCTGGTCTCTGATTTTATAAAATAAATTTCCCCCGAAAAGTGCAACTTCTGGTGCGACTTTTTTTTTTTTTTTCCTTCATTACGCATTTTTTTAGCTGGTGCGACTTGTTCTCCGGAGCGACTTATAGTCCGAAAAATACGGTACATATTTGCGACCTGGTGCTCAAAAGGAGTAGGATAAAGTTTAAAAACCTTATAATGTCCTACCCCAATTGTTTTACATAATAAAATGTTTGACACTTTTTTTTCTTCACCTTTAGCTTAACACTTATGGAATATAAATTAAACAGTGGAGTCTCCTTTATAAGTTTATGATAATACAATGAGCAACAAAGTCAAATTTTGTTACACCAATATAGTACAGGTTGTTTTTAGACTATATGGTTCCCAAAATCAAAATGCTCAGCTGTAGTTTTCAAGTTAGCAGCTACCTTTTACCTTTAATTCAGTAGAGATTGGCAATTTGAAGTTTTTTTTTTGTTTGGGAGAAGAGCTCAAATGTAAGATTTAAATATGTGAATGAAACAAAACCCAACTCCAGGTATGTTTGTGATGAGGAAACAACATTATTACATAGATCTGAAAAGAGTGGAATATTGGCCCTGTAAAGACCGCTTCATGACCGCGCTCACATTAAAACATTTCAGTCCAATAACCAAATGTTTAGAAAAGGTTTACATTGCTTGCTGAACCTTGTCGTACACATTCAAACCAAACATCTGTGGAAAACCCGGACAGTTTCATCTCGGCGCGTGCCCAGTATCAGTATTTCAGGCGCACGGCTCAGAGGCCCGGGGCACAGGCAGGTCTTGGTAATGGGAAGCAGCAGAGCACAACAGAGCAGAAGAGAGCAGAGGAGAGCGGAGGAAAGCAGTAGACAGAGGGCTTTACCTGCACAGCTTTGACCAGCGCCGCGTTCCTCCCAGCGTCTCTCACCAGAACCACCCTGGTCTCTACTTTAGGAAGGAGCATCTCTGAAACGCACACAGGGAGAACATGGTGTGGGTGGGTTTATGAGCGAGACTTGATTTTGATACCAAGGATTAGACTTGATACTCAGTACTGATTCAAATACTACAATGATAGTTTAAATTTATAATAATTTCAATTTTACTCTTTACAATAGAATGAGATTTTCAATGTTAGATCATTGTACTGTATTTTCTTTTATATTACCATGCGGTCTTATATAATCCCTCAGTGGTCCAGGTAGGTGTCACAGTGGTCCATAGGCGTGTACTAGTCTTTGTGTTCTTATACTTGCTCTGATACAGCTCAATATCAATCAAAAGCTCTTCAGGAAATGTGACTTTCTTATTTCGATACTAGTTTTAGTATCTGATTTTCAATACTTTGGGCGATCCTAAGCAAAATATCCATGCGTTTTGGATTTATAAAAATTTCGGACCATTGCTATAGCGATTAACATTTCGTGAAAATGTCCTCAAAATGTTGCACACAAAGCTGAAACCCATGAATATGTAAGGGTTAGTCCCAAACATTGCTACTCACACCAAATTGATGAAAAACAAATTAGAGAAAATGCGAGACACTTAAGTAATTAACTAACTTTGCTTCCATTACTAGTTGGACATACTACTATGGTTTTATGCTACTGAAATTCTACTACAATTATACTAAATAATCAGTTAGATTCTTCTTAGGTTTAATTAGAATTGCTATTTAGATCATATATTTTATTTATCATAGATATTTTTGATACTCACTACCCTGCAAGGACTCTAGGACTGGGTAGAACAACTTGTAAACCAATTTATTTCCCTAAAAGTTTGTATAAAGTTTAAGCAGTTTTAAAGTTTGGTATTAATTAGCATCTTGGTATGGATTTATTCTACAAACCTAATTCTGTGCCTGCTGGAAGTCTCCAGAGCCAGACTCAAACACTGGGGCGATCGGGCTTTCTCTGTCGCTGGCCCCAGACTCTGGAACAAACTGCCCTCTGATATGCCACCGTCACAGACTTTTGCCTGTTTAGATCCAGGCTCAAAACTTATTCATACAGACTGGCTTTTCAGTAATGCAGGGACGCTTTGCACAATTTGTTTAATTTCATTGTTTACAGCAAGGGGCGTCCAAACTATTCTCATCAGCATATCATAGACAAAGTGCAGGGCCAATTGAGGGCCAGACCGTAGTGAATAATTAAAATATGTGCATTTATAACAGGGCAGAATGAGCCACCAGACTTTCATCCATGTTTAGACCTGAAAAGGATATTTGCATTATCAAGGTAGATGTTAAAAAACTTGCCTTAAAAAGAACTACTTGGGCCAATTCATCTGAAAGCTAAAGGGCCAAATTTGGTCCACGGGCCATGGTTTTTGCACTGTTGATTTTACTGGAAAGCTCTTTGGTCACCTTGAGTGTTGCAAATGGCTCCATAAATAAAGATTGGTGATTGACCGATTGATGTACAATACTGATCCAGTGGGTTGACCTTTAACCCTAGTAAATATTGGCTGTAGATCATCTAGTGAAGTTTTAAACCGACCTTCTGCATCATCACAGGCCGTGCCCATGAAGCCGTGATCCCTGGTGGTTTCGGCGATGCGCGAGTCGTACACCGAAGAATCCACCAGCAGACTGCGGGCCATCCCCAACGTCACGATACTGCTGTCAGCCATGACTCCGACCCCGGCGCGCTCCCAGCTGTCCAAGCTATCAAAAGTTACAGGGCGAGAGACACAGCACACGGCGGAGAGGAGAGACAGAGGAGAGGGGGAGAAGAAGGGCGACATCTGTCAGAGCACTTCAAATACAAGCAGTGCAGCGGGCTGACAATACACCTGCATGTGAACCCAGACAACCCCGAGCCGATGGAGAAAGTTTGAGAAGGAGAAAAGAAGTCCATGCAGCAACCAAGTAATGTGCTTGCCATACATTTTTTGGTACTAATATTGACTTTTAGGATGTAGGGCAGTCGTGATACTTACTATATCAACTTATCATGTTCATTATACCCTGGATTTTCGTTATTGGAGGTCAATATTTGTTATAGGTACTTTTTCTTTGTATTTTTTCTGTACTACGATACATTTTTGTTATTTTTTTTTTTAATAATTACAGCTGTTACCCTCGATGTTGATGCAAACTAACTACAGAACTATATCTCACACTGTCTGTCTTTTCTGCATAAAAACTACCAGATAAGAAGTCAGTTCATATTTCTATTTAGTGTTTGTCAATTCTTCTGGACATGTTTAAAATGTGAATTTAGAACTGTATCTTAATATTATCAAATCACAATTAAATATTTTTCACAAATCGTTCAGCCCTATCTGCTAACATGGGCACATTTACATACTTAGATGTTGATTAGTGTGCAATCAATGTCCCTTTTCAAATAAACACATAAATACAAATTGTTATTTGATCTCCACTCTTCTCTTAATTTCAAAATTATTCTTTATGACTTAATTTTGTTTGTGTTGTATTTTAATGCATCCTTCTCGTTTTGTAAAACACTCGGAATTACTTTGTGTACTAAATATGCTCGACTGATTTGCCTAATTTAAAAGGATTTACATAAACACATTAGTAATAAAATGACTCAGATATACCACCATTGTATTAAAGGTGTATTCTGCAACTTTTCTGCTGGGGGTCAGGCACCTACTTGTCTGCATGGAGATGTTAAAGCTTTACCTGGAATGCTCTACAACGTGGAATTAAACCCATATCTTTTGCATTTATTTAATTACAAGTGTTTTAACTGCTCAAAAACTACCATGAAAAGCACAATTCTCACTCTGAGCGGGCTCGCCTCTCCACTGACATGCCCCGAAACTTGGCCTGGTTGTGTTAACTACTTGTCTCCATGGAGATAGTCTAGTATTTATGTTGTTTTGTGAAGCATTCCCACCAAAGCTATAACATCTCCATGGAGACAAACAGATGCCTGATCCTCCACTAGAAATGTTACACAGTGCACCTTTAACAGTAATCTGTAGAAAAAGATTTGATGATATTTTTTCTTTTTTTTTTTGGTAATTCAATTTGGCATTCTTCTGATTAAACCATAGCACTTATTCTTACTGAAGAACAGCGTTATCTTCTATCTTTGTATTGTGTTAAGAGTGCTTTTATGTCAAATGAGTTGTCAATGGAAACAGCACCAAATTAGCTATTCAGATTGTGCAAGCAGCAGCAATAACCTTGAGTGTTTTGCCATTATAAAATGTGTTTCAAAATGATGTAGGCGTTTAGGTATTCAACTTAGAGGGCTGGCTGCAAAATAGTTTTATCACAGGAATGTAGACTGTTGCACAAGGATGGCAACACATGAACAAACAACTTTCTGACCCAAATTTATGATGAAAGAAAAGGCCATTATTGTCCATTATTTAAGGTTGTTTAGTTAGATTACCCACAACACAATCTGAAGTTATCCATGGTTTGATTTTAACTTAGGGAGACTAGATTTTCAAAATAAAAAAACTGGAATCCCTGGTTAGGCCTGGGTATCATTAAGAAGCTGCCACTACGATACATACCTCGATACAGTGAGCTTTTGATTCAATACAATATATTTGAAATCGATTTGATATGGTTCAATAAAAATGTCATGGCTGTGATACTAAAAGTCTTTGTTAAACCACTTCTTGTGCAAAGTTAATATGAGAAACACACATTTTAATCATCAAAACAGTGAAAATGTCAAATGTGTCGCATAAATTGATTTTTCTATATTTTTGCACACCCCTATCCCTGGTTTTGGTTTGTTGGTAATAATAAAACTGTGAAACAAGTGCATAATTAAGAAAAAATGTACTCAGCACAAATGTGAGTCAGTTTAGTCACATTTTCTTTGTGTTTTGATCATTTTTTAGCAGCTTTTCTGTATTTTACCAAAACAAATGCCAATGTTCAGATCTCGTTCTTGTTTTGTCTAGTTCTGGTTTAGTGCTGGTTTAGTGTTGGTTCAGTCTGGGTTTAGTCCAGCTCTAGTCCTCTGTTTTAGTCCTGTTTCAGTCCACGTTTAGTCCCAATTTAGTCTTGGTTCAGTCCTGGTTTAGTCCTGATCTGGTCCTTGTTGATGTCTACAGGGGCATTATGAGTAACTGTTGTTAAAGTTATTATCTAAAGGAAAGTTTTATTAATACTTAAACTTTGTGAGCACTGAGTTATGTCGTGCAAAGTTACTCATTAATTAAAATGTTGTTATTCTTCTCTAAACAAATGCCAAGGTATGCCTCTCTTTAGTGTTGGTCAAAAAATAGGGACACCTGGGACATTTCTTGTATAAAACTGAATAAATCTGATGGGACAGGGGAGACAGGGCTCAAAATTGGATAAATAAAGATGTCTGGTAACATTATTTTAACGTTATTCTACACAGAAAAACGACATTCCCTTGCACAACGTCATGTGAGTTCAAGATTTTTACGCATAAAAGTTGAACATTATTATTTCTGCACATTTATATAAAAAAAATACAAACATCAACTTACCTAAACTTATACAGGTGATCCCCTTTATCGGAAAAAATATATATTTAAAAAAAAAAAAAAAAAGAAACAAAACGGGTTTCCTCCCGTGTCAATGTAAACTAGCACTGGGGCTAACTCGGCTAAGCTAAGAGTTTAAGCAAATTCGTTCCAAAATCCTTCAAAGATCTTCCACCATCGTTGCTCCGATTACTCCGCGGTCCCGAGTGACAGCATGGCTAAAGTTTTACGCGGATCGAAAGCCAAAAAAAAGCAGATTTTGTTGAGTTTGTTGACGGATTTTGCTCCGCGGAGACGTCAGTGCGGCGCTGCGGGGACTCAATTCAAAAAGCAAGGCAAACAAGAGTCCTTCGCGCTGATTGGCCAACGCCGGAGAGGAGACGTGCAGTGCGTGCCCGGCGTGCGCTCTCATTGGTCCGTTCATTCAAATCGTAATGCCATGGGTGTGTGTGTGTGAGTTCTGCAGAAGGGGAATAATGCGAGTGGTGTTTGATTTATTTTGTGAGGAGGCAGGCGGACTGGGCTATAAATATGTCGTCTCTGCTGACAAAACGTGGGAACGTAGTGGGCAAATGGAAATGAAGTTAATTTTGTTAAGTAATAGGCAGTATAAGGGTAGGGCTTGGGCAGAATAAAAGTCTAGTTTAGTCCATTGAGCTATTTTAGTTCCATGATTTAGTCCCAGTTTATTTCTAGTTTAGAACTAGAACTAGTCCTGGTTCAATCTAGAGTTAGTCCTGATCTAGTTCTGGTTTAGCTCTTATCTAGTTCTGATTTAGTCCTCGACTTGTTTTGGTTTAGTCCTTATCTAGTCCTGGTTTAGCTCTTGTCTAGTTTTGGTTTAGTCCTTGTCTAATAGTGGTTAAGTCTGGTTCTAGTCCTCTGGTTTAGTTTTGTTTCAGTCCTGAAACAGGGACAGGGGACGCAGGGCTCAAAACTTGGACTGTCCCGGGTAAATAAGGATGTGGTCACTCTAAATAAAAGCCTAGTTTAGTCCCAGTTCTGGTTTAGTCCTGGTTCAGTCTAGGTTTAGTCCTGATCTAGTTCTCATTTTGTCTAGTTTTGGTTTAGTACTGGTTTAGTCTTGGTTCAGTCTGGGTTTAGTCCTGATCTAGTTTTGGTTTAGTCCTGATCTAGTTCTGGTTTAGCTCTTGTCTAATTCTGGTTTAGTTCTGGTCTAGTGCTGGTTTAGTCTTGGTTCAGTCTGGGTTTAGTCCCAATTCAGTCCTGGTTTATAGTCCTGGTTGAGTCTGGGTTTAATCCTTGTTCAGTCTGGGTTTAGTTTTAGTAAAATCCTGGTTTAATCGAGGTTTAGTCCTGGTCTAGCTGTAGTTTAGGCCTGGTCTAGTCTGGTTTAATCCCGGTTTAGTCCATGGTTCAGTCCTGGTTTAGTCCGGTTCTATAGTCCAGGTTGAGTCTGGGTTTAATCCTTGTTCAGTCTGGGTTTAGTTTTAGTCAAACCCTAGTTTAGTCCTAGTTTAATCCTGGTTTAGTCTGGTTTAATCTCTCTTTACTCCTTGATTCAGTCCCTGGTTTAGTCCTGGTCTGGTCCTTGTTGATGTCTACAGAGGCATTTTGAGTAACCGTAGTTAAAGTTATTATCTAAAGGAAAGTTTTATTAATACTTAAACTTTGTGAGCACTGAGTTTGTGCAAAGTTACTCATTAAAATGTTGTTATTTGGATACATGGTCCAGTCTAATACTGCACTTTGGTGACTAAATTGTAGAGTTTAAAATGCATTTTTTTAAATTTTTATTTTATTTTTTTTGTCATGAAGACAAGCAGGTGACGAGCAAGCCTGAAGGGGGAGTGATTTAGTGTAGAGAGCAAAGGGTGGGCGTTTCATTTTTTGCAAGTTCAGAATTTTCAAAACAATAAAAGGTTGGTAACACGGTGATCAGTAAATAAACATGTCCTGTGTCCGCAGTTAATACCCCACAGCAGCGTCACACCTCCTCTTTAAAGACTTTTCCGAGACTCTCCGATAATTGTTTCATATCAGCTTATCCACAGTGTCCACACCTGCTCCCTCCCTCTGCTGCCTGTAATCTCGCCGTTATGGACCTGTATGTGCGCATGAATAAAACAGCAGGCCGGTGGATCTCTCACTATAAAAGCCCTTTGAACATGTTTTCCAGGGGCTCGTGTGCGAAAGACCAAAGAGAACCTCCGGAGAACGGGGAGGGAAGCGACTGTTTTCCCCCAACAACATGCACTCAACGACAGCCGCTCGGGGCCAGACACCAGCCTCTGTCTTTCTACTGGAGGATCTGTGAGTTTAACAAGACGCAGGGAGGAGGAAGAGGAGGAGGAGGAGGCGTCTTTGGAGAGCGTGTTATGAACTCTATGTACTTTATAAATTTGTGATTATATTGTTAAATTGTCAGTGATAGGAAATGGGTTTTTAATTGACGTCATTTGAAGCAGTTTGGAAAATATATTTTTGTGTTAAATGGAAATGAATTTGAAACCATTTGTTGTCTTTAAAGAGGAGATATTTTACTTCTGTGGGGTATTAATTTGGATCATTATGTTTTATTGTTTTGAAAATGCTCCCTGCGCAAAGTCACTCCCCCTTCAGAGCACAATCAGTGTAGATAAATTTACTGCACATCACATCAGGTTTGTCAAGTTGTTGTGTACAGTTTTGTGTCATGACGTACACTTGTGGGCTGATCGCTGTGCAGAATCTTACAGATAACCATAAGAGGAGTTCGAATAGGGCACGGGAGAGATCACTAAATTACTGAAACATGCATGGATGGAACGTTTTTGAGACGGGAACAGCTCGGAAATCGATTGTGCATAATACATCCTAATAAAGAGTTTTGTTTCAAAGGTGGACTGTGTATCTTTTCTGGAGAAAGGTTTGACACTTGTTTGTTTCATGGATATATTAGTGCTTTGCCTGGAATGTTCCACTGTGGCATTAACTATCAACTGAGGGCCTGTTTACACGAGAACACTTGTGGGTAAAGACGACAGAATATTTTATCGGAAGTGCCTTTTGTTTAGACAGTGATGGTGTTTTTGGGGCTTAAAAATGCAAAAATTTGAAACCACCCTCCAAAATGGAAAAGTTGAATACGCTCCACCATAGCGTTTTCGTCTACACTGCCCAAGACACAAAACTCTGGTCAGATCTGCTCACGTCTCGTACGCATTTACGTCACATACATACAGTACACAGAAACAAACATGTCAGACATTTTCCATGCGTCAGACCTTCAAGTTGCTCTGGCAGCTCTAATAAACATAAAGGAGGTTCCCAACAAATGTACAGAATCTGCAGGGATACTATTAGTGAACAGAGAAGGATCTGCAATCACCTCTGTCAAATCATGGATGCACCAGTTCGTCGCAGTCAGACGGAAATGGACGAGACCTGGAGAATCAGTCGATGGTGGTACAACTTTGTGGAAGGAGTAGCTGATGAAAATGCATGGCGTGAAAACTTCTGTATGTCCAAAGACGCCCTTGTTGCTTTAAGTACATGCATATCCAATCAAATTCCACACACTTTTGCGTCACTGTAAGCACGCATATTTCCCCCCAAAAACGCTCGTCTAAATGCGGAATATAAAGTGAAGATGCGATGCCACTTTTGCGTCTTCTGTTCAGAATGTCCTCATATAAACGTAGACTGAAATGGGTCCCTTCAAGGATCTAATTTGTCCCTCAGCCACCAACCTTGGCGTCACTTGGGTTGTGTAGACTGTGATTTTAAACTTAACAAGCAGGTCATTTCTGTTGTTAAATCCAGTTTTTATCACCTTGGTCTTTTATCTAAAGGGAAACCTTTTGTATCTTTTGAAAAGTTTGAACAGGTTGAGCACGCTTTTATCTCTACTCATCTGGAGTACTGCAGTGCACTCTACACAGGAGTCAACTAAAATGCACTTCATCGTTTGCAGTTGGTCCAGAACTCTGCTTTTAACAAGGAGCAAAAAGTCACATTATTGTTTTTAGAGCTTCGAATGGACTCTCCCCACGTTACATCTCAGACCTCATCCAGATTTACTCCCACATGCGCTCTCTGAGGTCCAAGGGCCAACTCCAGCTCGTGGTGCCTAAAACGAGACTTAAAACCAGGGAGGACAGGCCCTTCTCTGTGACCGGCCCCAAACTCTACCCCTCCCATGTCTGAACAGCCCCCACAGTGGACAGTTTGAGTCTCGTCTTAAGTCTGACTTTTATTCTATGGCTTTTAACACCATGAGTTGTGTGGTCCTCTGTGTCTTTTATTTATTGTTTTTATCTATTCTTTTGTTTTAGTACTGCCTTTATGTATTAATTTGATTATTTTTGTTCATTATTCTTTTCTTATTCTTTTATCTATTGATTCGATTAATTCATTTTGTTTGGAGCATAATTCTGCTGACTTTTTAAAGTGACATGTTTTACACTGCTCTGTGAAGCACTTTGGAAACTGTCTTGTTTTAAAAATGTGCCATAAAAATAAAGTTGGATTGGATCAAGCATTTATTCAATTACAGCTGTTTTTATTGTGAAAAAGTACTTTGAAAAACATACATTCTTACTGTGAGCGGTGTCCCCTCTCCACAGATGTGACCTGTAACTTGTCTTAATGGCATGAACTGCTTGATATTTAAATGCCATAGTGTGGAACATTCTAGACAAAGCCATAACATCTTCATCTAGACATGCAGGTAATGGACAACCCACCATGTCGAGACTTTTCTGTGACTTTGGTGCGACCAAACTGAAACAAAATTCAGGTATAAGCAATCAATGATGTACAGTGGCCTTAGATCACCAATTTAAAAGGTGCTCATTAAAAACCAGATTTGTTCTTCTATGGATCAACCTATTTGTTACACCACATCCAACATAAAAGGTTCTTACATGTAAAGTTTGTGAAAAGTTGTTCTGTGGATTTGTCAGAGCCTGATGCAAATCCATCTGTTTAATCCCATCTCTATTAAAGCCCTATTAAACTGCTCACATTTGACTTTCAGACGTCATTGGGGCTAATTCTCATTCTGATTTTACACTTATGTTTCTTTGAAGACCGTGATGCAACTGACGCACCCATGTTTCCCTCAACAACAAAGAGTCACCTTTACAAACGTAAGGAGTTCACGTGTTTGCTCTCAGGGAGTTCAAGTGCACGCTCATAAGGAGGAAGTTCACGCACACGTTCACAAGAAGGTAAGTGCACGCTCAAAGGTAGTTCACGTACAAACTTACAGCACCTACATGAAGTTGGTCCCCACACAAACCTACACAAAAACTTTGTCTATCGTTTGTGCATTGTGCTACAAAAAGTTTCACACAAGTTTCTAC